GCCCACATTTTTCCCTGATCTCTCAATTCTTCCGTGAGAATGCCCGGCCAAACGCTGCAGTGACATGAAAACGACACGACAAACAAACCCACAAAAAACAAGACCGTCCCCTACTAGCAAGCCACTGGTAATTTGGAGGTTTACTGCCCAGTTTAATCTTTAGTTTCAGGTTGCCCATTTTCTGGTGACAGAGGTGTCAGGAAAACATCCCTGCACCTGTTGCAAAGTCTCAGCTACAGCTGGAGATAGACGCAGACAAACACATCTAGAGTATCATCCCAATTTTAGCATACGTGCCATTGAAGCCAGCACATGTACATAGAAAGTATCATCCAAGTTTAGTATGCCCTGATAAATTAAACAGCATCGCATATAGACACAGAAGATGTCAAAGTTGGAGGACTCCCAAGAGGTCACCCGGCAAAGCCCTCCATCCTACTCGTCACCCCCTGGCCGAGAGACCAAAGTTGGGGCAGCTCCAGTGACAAGTTGCTCACTGGCTTTCAGAGGCAGTTGGTGTCCATGACCAGCTTCTTTTCAACAAAGGTCTTTTCTAAAACAAGGGGAAATCCATCCTCCCGGTACCTGCTAGCCACTGGGGGCTTCTGCCTTCCTCAGAACAAGGCATCTCCTTGGGCACCCAGGCCCCACCCCCAACCCTAGAGGGACTGAAATTTCTAGCACTATAGTTCCCGAGCCAGAACCCTACGTCCCCTCCGACTGCTCCCTCTGATGGATTGTGTCCCTGAGTTCTGGTTCCCCGGGGGTGGGGGGTGTCGGTCGGTTGGGGCAGCCCCCCCTCTATCGTTCCTCTCTCTCCCTGCCCACCCAGCGAGCGCAAAGCTCCTGGGAATTGGGGCCTCTGTGGGCCCACTGCAGTGCCATGACTCTGCTTGCCAAAAGCCATTTGATGCAGCAGGTAAGCAGGCAGTTAGAGAGGTGCATTGGGTTTCTGAGAGGCACCAGTCTAGCTAAGGCAGAAATAGGCTCTAACTTAATAATCTGCTCATCACACACAGTAAGAGACACCCTGACTTATTCAAAGACACCGTGGGCGGTGCAGAGGATGAATAAGCATGATTCACTGCCACTCTGGCACCCGGGGCACGAAGAATAATAAAACCCAAAGAATTGTAGCCGCCTGAGTAGTAAATTAAGAGATCCGGGGCTCAGCTAGACTCTAGACATCAATGTTACCATGGTGATAAAGGGCCCTGGCGTTCAGCAGCTATTAGAGAGCAGGCATCTAATAGGCTAGTCTATGTCACAGCCAAAGCCCAAGGGGCTAGCAAAGAAGACCAATTAGCATATCCATTCATTAGGGGCCTCTGCACACTTCTTCTCTTAATTCCAATTAGTTGTTTGTTTGAAACGACGTCTCTTGCCTGCATTATGCTCATTAGTGCCTTTTAGCCACTGGAAATAGGCTTGAATCTCCACAAGGACCTCACAATTTCCCAAGCCTTCATTTTTTCCCCCTAGGGGTCTAGGCTTATACAGTCACCAACCCATAGCCCTCAGTCCCTCGAAATGAAAGCATCTCTCACTGTACAACTGTACTCGACAGATGGAAACTCTGCTCAGGAATGTGATGCGCTAAGGGTTCTTCTTGGAACCCAGCGAAGTAGGGATCTGGGGCCATTATCTGGACCATTCAGGTCAAGGAAACCCTCTGGCCTCAGCCAGTGAGCCTGCTGGCCACTACTCACAGGCTAGCTGTGCGGGCGGGGGAGCTTCGGGCACCGGGGACCATACTGGCATCAGCAAAGTCAGGCAGTAGCTGTTCCAGCTTGAAGGACTGCCCTTCAAGTTCCAACCCAAACCCCGCCTATTCCGGGAAGCCTTCCCTGATCTCTGCAGCCCCAAATAAGTTCCCCCTCCTGCAAGCACTTTGAAGATGACACCTGATGCTGGGCAGTATTCACGGGCAGCCTCAGGCCTCGGCTGGCCTGGAGCTTCGGCACCCATGACTTCAGAGTCCACAGGTCACTAATGCTGGAAGTGTCTGGGGTTCTAGAGAGTGCCCAGCACTGGCCCCACTGACTCCAATGGCAAAAAACTCTTAAGCCCCACTGCACGTGACCTCCCAGAGACTCCCTGAAGATTTAAGGAAAGCACACAACTACACAACTGCTCTTTGGTGGCTCCGGGACACACTCCACCCTCCCCCCAGCCAACACACACACACACAATTGTGGAAGTGACCCAAAAGAACAGATGTCAGAAACTAGCCCATCTCACGGTGGAGGCAAAGATTCTCTGAAGAGTGCTACCAACTCTTTCTTCCTCTGGGAACAGGAGGACCCAGTCCATAGCTTTCTGTTCCCCATCAGCAACCTAGCAACCATGTGGTTTGACCAGAGCAGGCCCCCAGGAGAGGCGGCTTCTAGAAGCAGCTGCGAACACCTGCATCCAAGGACTGGGCATATACAGTGTGAGAGACTGGAGTCATTTGCCGTTGGATCTGCTGTCAAAGCCTCTCCTTGCCTCTCTTGCCTCCGTGGCCACGGTTCATTTGCAGCTCTGCAGGCCACTTCCGGCTCCAGCCTGCTGCACTGTGCAGCAGATTGCTCCCCCCGCCTCGGCCCCCCCCCACCATGGCAGGAATGGTTTCTCCTGTAGCTACTTTTTTGAGTGTGAACTCATACAGATTTCTGTCTTTGAGGTCCCATGGGATTTTGTTCTTTTACCCCACCCAAGAGCTGGCATTCCAGAAGGCAGCCTGAGCTATAGTCAAAATACACCGCAAATATATTAAGTGTATAGCAAACCCCAAGTGACCCAGAAGGCTCGGGCGTGGGAGATTCTGGAGAATGAAATATTTTGTTACCTGAGGTCACATTGCTCCAAATCTCCTTTTGTCTTCCCCCTCTTGGGTTTTTTCCCCAGCTTTATTGAGATGTATTGACATATAACATTGTATAAGTTTAGGTGTACAAGGTGGTTTGACTCACTTATATATTGCAAAATCATGGTCACCGTAGTGTTAGCTAACAAAACCTTCATCATGTCACTTAAGTGCCATTTCTTTTTTATGGTGAGGACACTTAAAATCGACTCTCTTAGCAACTTTCAAGTAATAATACAGTGTTATTAACTACAGTCACATGCTGTACATTAGATCCCCAGAACTTATTCACCTTATAATTGGAAGTTTGTACCCTTTGACCAACATCTCCCCAATTCCCCCACCCCAGCCCCTGCTAACCACCATTCTACTCTGTTTCTATGAGTGTGGCTTTTTTAGAGTCCACATATAAGTGGGAGCATACAGTATTTGCCTTTTGTTGTCTGACTTACTTCACTTGGCATAATGCCCTCAAGGTCCATCCATGTTGTTGCTAATGGCAGGATTTCCTTCTTTCTCACAGCTAAACGATATTCCTCTGTGTGTGTCTGTGTATGACGCTTTCCTTATCCATTCATCCACTGACAGACACTTAGGTTGCTTCCAGACCTTGCCTATTGTGAATAATGCTGCCCCCCAACTCTTGATTTTTGAAATCTTGCTTACATGATTGTGCTCTTTTCTGCGTTAGGAAGACAAGACCAGTTAACCTATCCTCTGGCTTCTGAGGCTTGCAAAGGGCTTTGAGATTCTCATACTTAACATTAGGAGTCACACAAAAGGCTTGATTGGAGAAAGTGTGAGAGAGCCCAGTATCTACTGAGATCAGATTAACCCCTGGAATGTATTTTGCTTTTATTAAAGTCCAAAAAGAGGAATGAGTTTCTCTTTTTTTGTCAGTGGCCTCTTTCTCATCAAATAAGGGTATGGAGCGGGGAGGGACTCTGTTAAGGAAGAGTCCTAATTAGTAGCGTTCTAGTAAATGGAGTCTTTATTTTAAATTAATCACTATTGAAGCTGTCTTCATCCGAATAGCCTAGGCTTGGAATTATGAATAAGTCAATCTATCTAAGCAATTGTGCTGGTTTTCTTGGTTATGTATATGCCCAGAATCTCATTATCTGCAACATTCTCAGTCACCTGGGTATAACGGGGTGATTTGTGAAAGAAGAATCACAAATTCTACCCAAGCCTTTTAGTCACCCAGGCTCTGGTGGGGTGGACCGAACAGACCAAAAATGCTATACAATGTTTTGGCTCTTTCTACTGATTTTTCTTTTGTTGGATCCCACATTGGCTTCAGGAGTTATATATGTCTGGGAAACTGACACTGCAAAGTTCTGGCCTGTTCCCTGCCCTGATGCTAAGGGATAAATATAGATCTCAACCACTACAGAAATGTGGCCAGGATTCCAAGGGGTGTGTGCGTGAGGGGCAGTGACTGATGGCGCCATTCTGACATGTGGGCTAGAAAAAGGCTTCTTTATGTCCAAGACCCTCTTTGGGGAGGGGAGGGGTAAAGCAGGAGCCTGGCCTCTAAAATCGGAATGCATAATCCACATTTCAAGGGGCTCATGGGTTGACACAAATAAGGAATATTGTAGGTGGCTTGGTGTGTGTGGGGGGGCGGGTGGGGAGAGCAAAGGGAATCTTTCCTGACACCCTAGATCCTTTTGCATGAGATCAGTCTTATGAAAAAAGAAAGATATTCTTGGCCATGTCCCCTCACCCCCAACTCCCACCCACGCCCCACCTCCTGCACACAATGATACTCAGCTCTCAATTGAGAAGAACACAAGTTAAGATTTCCATTGGGCCCATAGTACCTCGGGCGCTAGAGAAGGACAGAGGGCGGGTAGAGACGTGAGGTGAGGGGGGTGGTGAGTCGCTCATCCTCGTGACCCAGAATATCTCCCCCCTCCCTGTGATGATGAGCTTGCTTTTCCATAAGGGCTTTCCTTTGATTCAGGGAATGGGCCAACCAATGAGAGAGGGGCATGTTAGATTATTTTGGGGAAGGGCTCATGCCAGGAGGGTTCACTTTTACTAGGCGCCAAGTGTCCCCAGCAACCAGTGTCTCCTGTACCAGCAGAAGCTCCAGAACTCTCACCCCCTGGCCTGCCTCTGCCCCGTCTGTGCCCACGGAACAGCCATGAGAAGGCAGCTCCGGTCCAGAAGGGCTCCGGCCTCTCCTTACGCTTATCGCTACAGACTTGTGAGTCCCGGGGAGCAGAATATTTTGCCCGCCCTTTTGAGGGGGGTGGGCTGGGGGTTGCGTAGATCTTGGCTTATAGCTGCTTCTCCTCAGCATGGGCAGGAACAGTGAGGTGTAAGGAAGCCTATAGTTTCAAGATCCAGCAGTAACTCCTGGCACCCCATTGTGCCCTAAATTGCTGCATTGAAGGAGGAAGCCCCTCTTCCTGGGGAACAAAAGACAAGGGGAGGGGAAGATGCCAAAGAATAGTGGCCTTCTAAAATTGGGGGGGGGGAGTCTAGAATTTAAACAAACAGAGCTTTTGGAGTCTGGGAGTAGAGGTTTTGGTCCCATAGCAGGAATTTTAGCCAGGAGAGAGAGGAAGGGGAAGAGGAAGGGAAAGACACAGCCCACCCAGCTGTCTTCAGTCCCCTGGGGCGGGAGCGCCTGAGGAACCCAGCTGCTCTTTTTCTAAAGCAGAAATTCCAAACTCTCGGGAAAAATCAGAGAATCGTAGATAGAAGCCGGGCGTAATCTTAGACATCATCTCTCCAGAACCCCTCATTATGTAAAGGAGGCTGCTGGGGCTCAGAGCACAGGAGTGACTTGCAAGTTAGTGAGAGAGCTAGAGAGAACGCCAAGTTTCCTCACTTCTAATCTTGGGCTCTTTCTATTAGATGTGCAGTAGGCAACTCCCTAGCCCTCTGATCCTCCCCCACCCGTTGCCAGCCTGCCTGCCACCCTACCCCACCCCGTCCAGCACACACACACACACACACACACACACACACACACAAACACACTCACGTGCGCGCGCACGCGCCTCTCTGCTATCGCCATTTATCTCCATCCAGGGTGCATCACAGATTTCTTTGAACCCACGGTTTCTTTGCATTTTCTTTGCTAGAAATCATTAATATATGCCACACGCAGTACTATTTGGGGGGGGGGACAGTGTAGTCTGAAATCTCCCCCAGAGAGGGCTGTGATCTGAGCCCCAGGAGGAAACAAAGCTTAATCCACTTTTCTTTGGGAAATGGCCCCTTATATAACCAGGGAGTTAAGTAAAGACTGTCAACAGCCCGCAGAGGAAAACACGAATCCTTCCAAGTCCATGTCAACCTACAGAGGGCTTCCCTTCTCAGCCACACTGTGCAGAATCCTTCTTTTCGCATTTCCAGAGTCCCTCCCAGCTTTCAGAGCACTCACAGCCTGTAGGGCACCTAGAACTCTTCCTTCCTTGGCTTCTTTTCTCCATAATGTTGCTAAAGCGTTGTGTATCGGTTCAGTTATTTGTCAAGTGCACCAGAGGAGCTTGCTCTTTATAGGAAATGCTTGATTTTAAAGGCATCAGGGGATCTTGTCCTTTAGAGGGAATACTTGATCAAATTTAAAAAGAAACTATTTAATGCAGTGGTTAATCATATGCTAATTTCTCTTTAAAATCAACCAACCATTCAAACGTTTACAGGGTGTTACTCAATGCAGGGCACAAATTTATCCTTTGGGTCACACTGTTTGTTTGTTTATATGTTTATATGTTTATATATTTAGAGTGCTCAAAATGGAGCCACCCTCTGCCCTTCAGACTCTTCCCTTTTAGGGCAACATGATGGCCCCGGCACACACCCACTACTATATTCCAGCACATTCACACACACTATCACATGAGGGCACTGCCACTTTAGGCAACGGACAAACACAGACCCTCTCATTACCAAAGGATTCCCTACAGGATTCTGTTAAATAGTTAGTTGCACAAAAGTGCCTCCCTTGCACAATGTGAGGTTCTCCTGTCCCGGGAAGCAGAGGAGAGCAAAAAAGACATTTGAGATTCCTGAAACTCAGGCAGTGTGAGAGCCGTGGGGATATTAGCTCGGAGAAGGTTAATTCTTCCCGGGAGGGTAAAGCTTTAAATGACAAGCTATCTTTAATGGGATTATCATGAAAGCTCATATCTACAAATAAGATCAGGCTGAGGCCCAGGCCAGCTGCCTCCTCTGTGGAGCAGAGGTGGAGGGCAGGCCCCCCCCCTGCCCCGAGCAAGAGGGAGAGAAAAGGAAGTTGTTAAGAAAACATAAAGGGGACTATAAATCCTTCCGCAGTGAACCGTTCCACCTCAAATTCTCGGAGATTCCCAGGTGCGGTAGATTCTTGGAGGGCCATGAGGACTACCCACCACAGTCCACAAGGCTGCTGGGGTTTAGGACGACAAGCTCTGTGAGAGCAATTTCCCGAGAGTCCAGGCTCAGGTTTTAAGCCTGGTAGTTACCACTGGCGCTCGTTTTGTCCCCACCGGCTCCCGAGCTGTGGGCCCCACACGGGGGGAGGGCCATCAAGGAGTTGGAAAATATCCACTCTGCCCCTTGGGTGCTCAGAATGTAGTTGGGGAGGTCAAATGCGTCCGTGTGTTCACACACAAGGGAAAGAGATTTAAGAACATTTATTAGTCCATTCAATGCTGAATGATGGGGGCTTTTCTGAGCCTTGTACCGTGAGTCCACGTCAGAGCCAGAAATCCTTGATTATGAGCACCTACAATCTCTTGGGAGCACCGAATCCGACACACCTATGGTGGCTCCATCATTCTGTTATCGGCGTCTGGGCGCTTGCGCTCAGTGCGCGAGGGGAGAGACCTCGACTATCCCGGGTAACAAGAGACGCAGGTTCTGTCAACCTGATCACAAACTCGCTGTGTGGCTACAGCTATGTCCTGCTCCCTCTCTGGGCCTCCGAAGGACAAGGGAATCTTCAGGGTCCCAGTCAGTTCTAGGATGGTGTGTGATAGAAGGCTGTACATTGGAACAAACTCGAGAGCCATTCAGAAGTGCTTACGATCCAGAGCTAGACAGCGCTGGCCAGACTGAACGCTGAGAGGAGAGCCTTGTCATTCTCTGTCCCTTTTAGTGATTCTGAACAATCCAATTTTCTGAGGCCCCCCCCCAATGGCAGCATTTTTAGCTGAGTGTCCTCTAAACGGCCTTTGAGGCATCAGGCAGGGAGGGGGCAGCATGGAGCCCCTGGCCTCTATCATTTGACACATCCAACCCCAACAGGTGCACAGGCCCCGCCACCCTTCAGATTTGGACAGCAGAGAGAAGGGAGGGTGGCCTCATTTTCTGCTGCTGCAGTGAGCCTTGGCAGACCCCCAAAGAGCAAAGATCCAACTCTCCTGCCTATGGCTAGGAGGCATGTGAAATACCGTTGGTGAAGTCTGGGTTTCTCTTTTTTTGTTTAATTTCCTTAGAACCACTCAGAGAAGATTATAGTTTCAGATCTCAATGACTGCAATCAGTCAATCAACAGATATGTGCTGAGCACTCACTACATGCCCAGATTTTTGCCTAGGGTATGGGGTGGGGGGGATGGGGGGAGACTAAGGAAGTATCAGTTGAGGTTCCAGACCTTAGGGAGTCTGTTCGACCAGCGGAGGTGCCAGCCCAGGCAACAGTCAGAGAAGCAGCAAACAGACCCCTGTGTTTTGTTTTTGCTAGGGAGGGAGTCTAAGTTTTGAGGAGGGGTCCAGCCGCTGGCCTCTCCTCCTGCGGTCTGTCCCAAGCTACTTTCAGGTACAACGTGGATGGTCAGGTTGAGCACCTGCCAGCTACAGGACCGACGGTAAAGCTGGTTTGGACTTAGAATTTGCCATGGTGGACTCAAGTGTCTAAAATGAATCTGTTCTCCGGTGTTGAGCTCAGCTCCGCCCTAACAGGTCAGACAAAGCGAGGCCCAGGCCCCAGGACGGCAGAGTGACATAAGCAGAGCCCTGGGAGGAAGAGCCCAAGGGCCTGCAGCTGAGAATAAAACTTACACCTCTGTGGAAAGAATATTGGGTCAAAATGGGTCAAAGAAAGGATATTTCCTCCAAAAGAGCAGAGAGAGAGAGAACATGTGCCTCTTGTAATGAGGGGGAGGCGTCTCTGAATATTGAGTCGTTTTCCATTCCTTTTGGCTGGTGGGCTGCGCCCTGGGGAATTTTTTGTCAAAAACAGGACTGTGTTTTGTCACCATTCCAGGACGATCAGGATGAAGTGAACCAGAACTACTTAGCAGATGAAGAGGAAGAAGCTGAAGAAGAGGCTCGGGTGATGGTGGTACCCGATTTGGAGGAGGAGGAGGAAGAAGAGGAGGAGGAGGAAGAGGAGGAGATAGAAGAGGAGGAAAAGGAGGAGGAAAAGGGTCAAGGTCAGCCAGCAGGCAATGCTTGGTGGCAGAGATGGCAGATCGTGAGCGAATACCTGTGGGATCCGGAGAAAAGGATGTCTCTGGCCCGAACAGGTCAGAGTTGGAGTAAGTCCCAGTCGTCCCAATGCCCCAGTTGGGTGTCCTTTGCTTTTGGCTTGGTGTCCAGGACTCCTTTACCATACGTTGGATGGGCTTGTCTGCAAATTTCCCTTAGATTTCGTGTGAAGGGCTGGATGCCTAGGGAAATGCCTGGACTGTGGGCAGATCCCACTGGAAGAAACTCCAAGTAGGTAAACACACTAGGTTGTGGAGCTGAAAGCCGCTGGGCTCAACTTCAATTTGCGATGCAAAGAGACAGTAAGGATGAGTTGAGAAAGCACAGATTTTTTTGTTGTTCTTGTTGTTTAAGTCCCGGCCCCATCACTTCCTATCTGTGTGACCTTGGGCTCATCCTTTACCCTCTCTGAGCCTCGTTCTTCCTCACCTGCCAAATGAGGGAAACAATCCCTACCGTGTTTCTCCCACAGGATCAGCCTGAGGCTCCCGTCAGATGCTCCAGTTGTAAACTTGAAAGCACAGTTGACCCTTGAACAACACAGATTTGAATGGCACTGCCCCACACAGGTGCTGTGTTTTCCCCCATAAATACAGCGTAGTGCTGTAAATGTATTTTCTCTTCCACAAGATTGCCTTTTCTGTAGCTTACTTTATCGTAAGCAGACAGCATATCCTACATGTAATGTACCAAATACGCGTGAATTGACTCTTCCTGGCTTCTGGTCAACAGTAGGCTGTTAGGAGTTACGTTTGGGGAAGTCAAGACTTAGACACAGATTTTCGACCACACGGGGGTTAGCACGCCTAAGCCCCGCACTGTTCAAGGGTCAACTGTACTATGCAGCAGACTGTTACTAGGATATAAGACCCCAGTCCCTGCTAACTTGACCGCAGATTTATAAAATCTCATCGTTTCACCCAGTAATGTCAGAAAAGGAAAGCCAGGAGGCCTGCCCTCAGCCCCGGCTTGTGGGTGCTTTAGGCTCCCACGGTGTACACAGAGAAATTCGGTTTAAAGGGGTCATTTCTGGCAATTACGGCCGAGCCCCCGTCATGCTCGATCAGTGGCAGAATGGCATTCCTCAGCCACGGCTTTGACTTCACGACCTCTCCAGCACCCCTCTCCCAGGGTCCTACTCACCTCTTGAACTATTCATGCTGTGCCTTCTCAGGAGATTTAGCCTGTGGTAAAATTCACACTTGCCACACTCTCTGCACAGCCCAGAAAAAGAGTAGCTGCTGGCTTGGCACTCAGTTAACCCAGGAGAAGAACAAAATAGATGACTCTGCAGATGAAATCAGAGTCCCCCTGGGCCCAGGGTCTAGGTTGCTGAAGTTGACGGTCATGCCTTCTAAAGGCCGCTTTGGCTGTGAATTCTCTCCCCACCTAGTTTATGTTTCTAATTCAGCTCTGTCAGGGTGAGACGGCCAGCCCTCCTTCCTGGAATTAGGAATAGCAGGTGTGGGGCTCTGAGCAACGCCCACCTCCCTTCACCCCTCCCCAGTTCCCAGCCCCACCCCTGCCGATCCCTCAAACTCTCAACTGGAACAAATGTACCATTCAAGGAACATTCCAACATTCTGGAAGCTGCGGACAAATGCCGGACACTCACTGGGGCTCCTAAGGGGGCACAGCTGTTTCTCCCTTGCCTAAAGAAGACTGGGAAAATAGGCCTTGTGAAATGCAAGTGTGATTCTGGGAGAGGGAGCTGTACTTTAACCCCTAAACAGCCAGCCATTGGAATTTCACCAGATGAGCTGATCCATGTGGCTCCTGGGGAGAATAATCCACAGGCCAAAAGAGAGTGATGGGGGAGAAAGTTCCAAGTGCCCAGGGAAGACATGGCAGTGGGGACACCACATGGTAGGCCATATCCAGGCCTCTGGATGGCAGGTCTGAGGAGAGTCCAGGAACTCAGGCTTATGCTGTTGGGCTATGCCTGGGCAAGGGGCACGTGGTGATGTTAATGCCTAGGCCACCAAGCATATGCTTTGCTGCCCTCTTTGCTGCCCTCTTGCTTGAAAACTAGGTGCCCACTTGAGCATTTACTAACCCTATCATAGCCTGCACATCGACATGACCAACATTATTCACCCAGCCTATGATTATATTATTCTGGGTTTTTCCTTTGGTAGCTGGGCAACTTCTATTTTTAGGAACTATCTGTTATTTTATTGGATACTGACAAGAACCATATGAGGTAGTAATATTATTATCCCCATTTTACAGATGCAGAAACTGAGGCTTAGAGAGGGTAAGTAACTTATCTAAAGTCACACAGTTATTAAGCGGCAGCACTGGGATTCAAGCCCAGGTCAGATGAACACTGGGGTTCATCCTCTTGCTGGAACACCACATTGTCTTCATGAAGTGTAGTGATGAGCAAGGCCCTGATGGGTAGGGTCTCAGGACCTGATGGGATGTTTTGGTGGGAGGAAGGAAGAATTTAGATCATGGGGCCCAGGCTTGGGTAAGGCATTCAGAAGACACCCCTGGATTACCTAGAGGAGTAGCCCAAGTAAAACCTGGACATCCAGGGCAGAAAAAGTTGGAGGGCTCAGTGGGTTCCGACGGGTATGGTGCTTGGTCTTCCTTGGTGGGGATGGGGGGGGGTGGGAAGCTGTGTTAGCCCATCACAGACTTCAGGGCATAGCTCAGGGGTAAGGCTCAGGGGACTCACCACTAGTGCCATTCTCCCTCTACACTTCCTAGCCACACATCCTACACAAGGCAGAAGACATCTCCAAGGGAATGTACCTGTATCCCATTGCTTTCCTTTCATCCATGAGACTGAGTCTTCCAGTCCTCCAGGATGGCTCCAGCCATTGACCCCTTCCCAGGACTGGGGATGGGGGTTGAGGAAGAGGGGAGGAGGAGGCACAGGGCACATCCCATCAAGGCAGCCAGCGGGCAGGAGCCAAGTACCACAGGCGCACGGGCGCTGCTGTTTCTTCTCTAGGGATTCCAGCAGAATCGATGTGTCCCTGCCCCAGTTCTGCCTCAGTTCACCTTATGAAACATCAAGGTTCCATTTCCAGTTGGATGCCTGAGGATCTTTTTTCTCCCTTCCTCTGTTCCTCCCTCCCCCCCCCCTTTCTGGTTAATTTTATTTGGTTCATGGTTCAATTTAAAAATTATTATTTGGATTCAGTTTTGGGTACAGCAGAGTTACGTGGTTTGTTCCGGTTTCTGGTTCGCGATTCAGTTCAAATCTGTCCCGACACCATGTCACTGCTGTGAGTGGAGCCAGATATTGTTGCCGGAGAGGGCCCCAAGGAAGACTTGAAAAGAGCTTCTCAGCAGCCATCTCAGGCTCATTCACCTCACTCGGTTCTGCCTCATCCTGGGGCAAACCTAATCCCAAAACAGCCCACGGAGGAGGCATTCACACAAACGTGCTTTGGGTCCTACAGCAATAAGCACATGAATAATAATGGTGAGGACCTGCCGTGTAAAGAGTACTTGGTATCTGCCAGGCTCTGTGCTATGCTATTTATATGCATCGTCCCACGCCAAAAGGAAGTCCTATTATTGTCCTCATTGTACAGATGAGGAAATTGAGGTCCAGAGAGGCGAGCAGCATGTCCAAGATGAAACAGCGAGGAAATGGTAAGGTCAGGAAAGGACACGAAGAGAAGCGGAATTTCAGATATTGTTAGGGTTGTAGATCAGTATATGAGGTGAAATGCTAAGCTTGTTCCCATTTTACCTGTGAGGAATTGGGGGCACAGAGAGGTTCTGGAACTTGCCCAAGCTCACAGGTAGAGCAAGTGTCGATAATTAAGTACAGTTTCTTCTTCCTTCCTTCCCCATCGCGTGTTCTTTTGGAAAAGCAGAGCCACTTAAACTTTTGCTCAAGATGAATAAGATTTGAAATAAGTAGGGTGAGGCCTCACTTTGCCTTGATTAGAGTAGAGGCAAGTCCAGCGGAAATTAATCAAAAGTTTGAATTATAGGCTATGTGAAAAGAAATGCTGTTTTCATCTCTTGCAAATACATATAATCACTGGAGCCAAGCCGCTAGGACTCTTCAGGGCACCTGCTTTAATGAGGGCTCCCAAGCAATTTGCCCTCTGCAGTACTCTCAACTCCACGCCCCTGTAATCTTGCTCATGGCCATCATCTGCTCAACAAGCCCTTCCATCGGAGATGCTGTAAAGGTACACTGCAATCAGACCTCCGGCACAGTTCTCATGAATTCCAAATTGGTGAAATCTGAATAAGCAAGGACATACTGAATCTGGGGAATGTGGATAAATAAATAAATAAATAAATAAATAAATAAATAAATAAATAAATAAATAAATAAAAGCCATCTCACGTGTTGGGGTTGGTTCTGGGTCATGAGTTCAAGTGAGGAGGCAGGAGGGCTAGTTGGCAAGCACTGACCACTCTCATCTCTGATCCTTCTGCAGGCCTGATCTTAGTCATTTACTTCTTCTTCTATGCCTCCCTGGCCGCTGTCATCACCCTCTGCATGTACACGCTATTTCTGACCATCAGTCCCTACATGCCGACCTTCACTGAGAGGGTGAAGCCTCCTGGTGAGTGCCCAGATGCCCTGTACTGTCAGCACTCGCTGGACAGAAATCTGCTTGGACAGCATGTTCAGCCTCAATTAACTTTGGCTCTTCCTGGTAATGACTTAGGGATTCAATTATTAAGAGTAAAAGTAAAATGGTACTTGGCAAATTATGGTCCTTTTTGTTTTGATTGCCTGGGGGGTAATGATTTCATGGGAATCAATACAAAAAAATTATCCCAAGAATGGGTTAATATATCCAAGACCTGTTTTCGTTGCCAGGAGTTATGATTAGACCCTTCGCCCATAGCCTTAACTTCAACTTCAACGTTTCTGAACCTGACACTTGGCAGCATTATGTCATTAGCCTAAATGGCTTTCTCCAGGGTAAGTAAGTGTCTCTGAATGGGGGAAATCTCTGTGGAAAGGTGATGGGTTGGGGGTGGGGGATTCGAAATTCACAATGCACCAGAAATCCCACCCTTACTAACCCCAGCCCATCCTGGTCTTTCCTTACCTTGCATCCCCCTCAGCACCTGTATATACAATCAAGACTGTTCTAGTTTGTGACTGTATGTTGTCTTGAAAGCATATAAACCAAGTCTCCAGCAAGATGCTAAGTTCACTGGGGGGCAGAGAATTTGTTTTCTTAAACATTCTAGGGCACCTAGTTATGTCCTGGGCACATCCAGATGGCTCAATAATGACCATTTATAAAAGATCATTCCAGGGGGTGGGTAGTGGTGAGAAAAGAAGAGTGTTCTCCAGAATGGGAAGATTCCTGCCTCCTATACTTTCTCAAGGTAAGAGAATGCCTTTCTTGGAGATGGGCCATCTTGAAGGAAGAGAGCAAGGGTCTTGATTTAAGAGCATCCTGGCAGGGAGTTAGAGAAAGAATCTCTGGGTGACAGTCACTCCAACATTTTGATAGGAAATGTTTGCAAGATGCCTATCTCTATAGCGTCATCAGATACACTTTCAGGGACCGAGTGGCTTTTTGAGAAGCCCTTCCATGGACTGAAAGCTGAGGTAGCAGTTTGGTTAAGGTCCGACACAGAGCATGCAGGCTCTAAGCTCCAGTGGGTTGCACAAATTAGTTGTGGAAAAAAGCCAGTTTCATTGCTTTGGTTGTCCCTGCCTGGCTGAAATGGAGGGATAGGGAGCAGTAGAATGTGCACTGAAAGAGAAAAACAATCTCTTATGTGATGGGAAGGGTTATGTAAATGCATAAATTTTGTCATTTAACTTTAACCCTGCATAGAAGCTACTGTCGGGGCACCTGGGTGGCTCAGTCGTCAGTTAAGTGTCCAACTCCTGATCTCAGCTCAGGTTTCGATCTTAGGGTTGTGAGTTTGAGCCCTGCATTGGGGCTACATAAAGAATCTACCATCTCCATTCTACAAATGGGGCAACTGAGGCTCAGAAAGGGGAAGTAATGTGATAAAAGTCTCCCAGCAGCCGAACCAGCGTTTAAAACCACATCCATGGTTGTGACACCTTTGCTACTGGAAGTGTGGTCCAGGACCCGCAGCATCAGCATCCCCTGGGAGTTTGTTAGAAGGGCAGGCTCTCAGGCCCCACCCCAGACCTGTTGAATCAGGATCGGCACTTGAACAAAATCCACAGGTGATCTCTATAAACTTTAAAGCTTGAGAAATACTGCTTTTTGTAATTCTTTGTTGTTGCCATATGACCGGGAGTTAGAAACTCAGCTTTGTAACAGTCATGCTTAGTGTCATTTTGGGGAAGTCTGAGTTTCAGATTCCTCATCTGTAAAATGAGGGGGACTGGGTCCCTTCTGAATCCATGTAGTTTTTTGAGCTCAAAAACAAAAACAAAAACGTTTTGGGACGCCTGGGTGGCTCAGTCGTTAAGCGTCTGCCTTCGGCTCAGGTCATGATCCCGGGGTCCTGGGATCGAGTCCCACATCGGGCTCCTTGCTCAGCAGGGAGTCTGCTTCTCCCTCTCTCTCCCTCTGCTTGTGCTCTCTCTGTCAGATAAATAAAGTCTTTAAAAAACAAAAACAAAAACGTTTTGGGCATCAGAGCCAGCACAGTCTCGTCTTTTCTTTCAAACTGTTTGTGAGCTATTGCAAGTGTGTTGTCAGAATCTCTGCTGAGGAAATCCCTCCGAGAAGCTAGTAGTAGATAGAGAAATGCCAATTCTGACCTGATGACAGAGATGGAGAACATTAGGGAAAGCATTGGGTTTTTAGTTCCTAAGGGTAGATAACATGCCCTATTTAAAAGGAACACATCTCTGAAATAGACATCCCAGAGTATCAATTTCATTCCCACGAGGACTGGGATTTTGCAATAAGGGTCATGCCCATGTCACATTATTTTTAATGGAACTACCTCAAGAGAAACAATGAGCACGTGATTAGAGCTTCTATTTAGAAACTTATTTGAACATAGTTCTTGTTCTAAAAAAAAAAAAAGATTAAAACGAAAACTTGAGTCGAATGTAGCTTTGTCAAAGGAAAAATAAAGGCTTAACCGTAATTGAAATAGATTTAAAATTCCCAGTTGCTCCTTAATAATATTAAACCCAAGTCACAATCTGTCTAGATGACAACCCAGCAGTACATTTGGAATTTTACCCCCAGTAGATCATAGGTGCACAGACTCCTCTGAAAAACTAAGCTACTGGGAACATGAGTGCATGGGGGCTGGACCTAACAAGACTAACTGGACTCCATCATTTAAAACCAAATTGGAAATAATGCAGTCATTTCCAAAGGCCAGTTCAGTGGCATCTGGTAGTCCAAAGAGTGAGCTCACAGACAGCCCCTTTTCAGCTCTCTCTCGGTGATATGTATACCTTGGACACATGCTCCTTTCCATCCGATGTAAAGGGACATGAACCCTGAGTGCCTCGGGTCTCGGTAGACAAGATCTCACCCTCTCACGTTCTCGGGGGAGACCCTACAGCTTGTCGTTGGTTTCTGTCTTTCAACCTAAGCTTCTATTTTGTGGTGCTAACTTTGGTCTGTAAAGGATGAGAAGCTGGTTTATCTCCTCTTCCTCCCTCTTTCTCCTCTCCCTCTCTCCTGTCCCACAACACACACTTCTCATTTTCTTGTATCTGGTGTCTCTCATGGACCTCCAAGGGAGACGTTTCCTAGACTGAACTTAAAAAGATTTAGCCCAAGAGGTTCGCCTCCTTATATAAGCCAGGCCGTGACATGATTCAGTCCCTCTTCCAGAATCTACTATGTGCCTCTTCCTCTTCCAGAAGTAGAAGGGGCAGCCCTCCCCAGTTTACAGTTTGCCATCGCTGAAAAGAAATAATGGAAAATGGAAGTTATACAGTGACCAACACATGACCCAGAGATAGCTATTACAAAGTTTGGAGGGAAGGAGAAGCAATCAAAGTGGGCCCAGGGGATGAGCCCGAAAGGCTTCCGGGCGAGGCTGATGGGGGGGCGTTGGACACCGACGCCAGGTCACAGAGCCTAGGCCAGGCTGAGTGGGCTCTCAGAGGAGCACCAGAATGCTGCAGAAAGGAAACTACGGAGGAGGACTACTGAAAACGTGGCCCTCCCCTGTAGCACCTGTCTAACATGCCCCCCCTCCCCCCACACACACGCTTTAGGTTACAACGACAGTCTTCAAGAGGAGATGAATGTAGATTGTCCCCCGGGGCAGTACTTCATCCAAGATGGCGATGAGGATGAAGACAAGAAGGCCTGCCAATTTAAGCGCTCCTTCCTGAAGAACTGCTCGGGCTTGGAGGACCCTACTTTTGGCTACTCTACTGGACAGCCATGCATCCTTCTAAAGATGAACCGGGTATATTGGCCCTTGATACTCTGGTGATAATAAGTGGAGGAGCTGGGTGGGAACGCTCTGGCCCCTCCGTTTGTCTTGGGCTCTGTCTTTGCACCCTGCAAGTCTGGCCACTCTTACTGACAGCATCAGTAATACGAACAACCGGACAAACCTATCAAGCAATAATTCCTTTTTCTCCCTGAATACTTCCTATTTTCACCCTCCTCTCCCGCCCCTAACCTTTGATGCCCTCTGTCAGTAACGAGGTCCTGAGCTGTTTAGAACAGGGGACTGACATGATGGGAGGGGCAATTCTTATATCACAAGAGATACATTTTCCTCCTCTCCTGCCATGCCTTAGGTGTGGTAGAGCCTTACCAGGCACATCCCTCTTAAAACCAGAAAGTTCTTTACATCTTCAGGGTTCTCTTGCTGCCGTTACCATTGTACGAACATCGGGCACAAATACAACAAGGAGTAAGCTGAGCTGCACAGCTCTGGAGATAGTTTTGCATTTTTTGTAACATTTCTGAGAGGGCAAAATAGGTTAAGTTTATGCCTAAGGAAGGGATGGCTTAAGGGGGGCGGTTAGAAAAGCCCCATTTTTACTGTCCAATCCGTTTTGTGTTTTGATGTTCAACAACAACGACAATGCTGGTTTTCTTTTGATAGATTGTAGGCTTTCGTCCTGAGCTTGGGGATCCTGTGAAGGTGTCCTGCAAAGTTCAGGTAAAGTGCCTTTTTGAGTAAGTATTGCTAGCGCATCTTTTTTATGTAAGAAGACGGTTCATCCCTTCCAAGGGTTTCACCATGGATGCCTGGCTATGGGTTAGGGAAAGGGTTAGTATTTTCATAACTACGCCTCCCTCTAGTACCTTCTGGCCTCCCTCTTGCCAGAAAGCATTCAATTCACGTGTGTGTGTCGTGCGGCTGTGTGCGTCCTCGCTGGTTTATACCTGTGAAAGCCAAAGAACCAACCTGCTAAGGGCCGCAGCAGGGACCGACAATGTACCACGTCATTAACTGGAATTCTGTTTACACTTTTGCTTTTAGCTCTAATTGCTTGTTTCTTTGAACTAAACAACCAGCTTTCGTTAGAGTCATTAGTCCCTGCTTTCAGAACCAGAATTTCACTTTTTGCAGCAATGACCAGTGGCACTGCGTGTTGCAATAACAAAGGACTACCAGGGAAGTATAAACAGAACTCCATTAATATGCTAATTAACTGTCATTCGAGGGACCATTAACTCCTATCTCATCTGCACCAATTCGCTCCTTTGTAGGAAGAATCCCTAGATCGTGGGTTTGCTTCTCAAACCGGAAGCAGTAGCTCCCTCCGGTTTCGTAACATGCACTGCACCCCCAGCCCTGGACGGCTGCCTCGCTAATGTCCTCAGGGCTAGAAATACAGCTCAGACCTCCAGCCTTGAGGGTGGTGGGTCAGAAAGCAGAAAGAGGCAGCATTTATTGATCCCTTAGGCTACGCCAGGTACTTTGCTAGGTGTTAGGGGTGCTGAGATAGCTATGAGTCGGTCTCTGAAATCGGGGCAACCACGTATTACAGCTGCTGTGAAAGGTGCAGCGGGGGACACTGAAGATGAGGGTTGAAAGGTCAGGCCGTGGTCTGCCCTGTGAACAAGGTAGGAAGGACATCCATTCTGTCCACATGGACATGAGTGTGCGTAAATATACACATGCTCGAGATGTGAAGACAAACTAGTGGCACTGATTCCACACACTATTCACAGACGTGAACGGCGTTGCTTTCTAGAAGAAAATGTAAGTAAATCATAGGGACCGACTCAGTCTTAAACTAGCATACTAATTGGCTTGAGTCCTGCTTATAGTTCCCTAGTGGAAGCCATTCGTTTTTCCGCTTACACAGAACCTTGCTGAGAACCGTCCTTTAAAAAGAAAACAAGAAATAGTCAGAGTCGTCATACGTTCCGTAATAATCAGTTGGTCAAAATCCACATCCACTTGTGGAAATCAAGCAGGACAAGGTCATCACTAGAATAAGAGTATACCCTGAACGATTACACTATATTGACAGAAGCAATCCCATGACCCCAGTGAGTGATCCACTAGTAGTGAGCACTGTTTGTCCCTTGTTAACCCCCAGACCTCTGCTATATAGGGCAAGCCTAATGCATAGGCAGAATGGTCAGTCCTCTACCTGACATGATATGATGAGGGCACACTTATTTATTTCATCTTTGCAGCGCTGGTTCCCTCTTGCTTATCCTCCTGAGTTCACCTCCTGCAATTAAGCACTACAGAGAAGGTGGTCAGACACATGAGTTTTGGTGGGCCAAACTATAGGCTGTGTCCCTAGGCAGCAGATCCCTATGCACCTGGTCTACCTTCCAACAGAACTGAGCCCACGGTGTGCAAGTTGTCGTGGCGTGGGATTTACTCAATATGTTCTAACTTCTACCTGCCTCAACGTCCAAGACTGGGTGCCAGGCCCAGGATGATTTTTTTTTTTTTTTTTTTTTGGAGAGGGGCTGGCGTGGTAGGCCCTCTTGCTAGAGCAGCACCAGCCTTCCGGAGCCCTTCTGTCTGGGTCCCCTAAGAGCCAGTACAGAACTATATCAAGCACATTCGGCCTCCTCAGTCCAGGCCTTCCATTCAATATTCTTTCAACTGAAAACTGAGTCACAGTCTCTCCCTGGAAATGCTCTGGGGATAGGTGTGGGGTAAGCTATGCCCCATTCTGCTTTCATGGGTCTTCCTGGGACAGTTGGTTATGGGTCACATCGTGATTTCACCTGGGGCACAGGTCCCTTGAGCTCAGGCTTCAACCCACCAGGGGACCCAACATCCCACATATACCTGCTTTTACTTCCAGAGAGGCGATGAAAATGACATCCGATCCATCAATTACTACCCAGAGTCGGCTTCTTTTGACCTTCGCTACTACCCTTACTACGGCAAACTGACTCATGTAAGCCTGTATCCTTTTCAGTCTTTGCTGTCAGAAAGGGCTCAGAGACAGAGGCAGGGCTGTCCTCTGTCTGAGAATTAGGGAGCAGCATATAGTAACAGTGGGGTGAACAGTCGCTGGCCAAGACCAGGAGCTCCCTCTACCAATTCCTAGTACAACCACTCCTTTCCGTATCTGAAGATATTTCAGCTCTGGTCTGGTCTAACTCCTTCAGGTTACAGATGGAGAAATTCGAGTTCAGAGAGAGAAAGAGACTTGCCCGACACACATAGCTAATTAGTGGCAGAGCCAGGAGCAGACAGATCACTGTCATTGCACCCCACGATACCCAAATAATCACACCTGCCTGTTTCTCCCAGGTGAAGCCTTGGGGCAGTGGTGGTGGGTCATAGGGCGAGGCTTCACCTTTAGCATAGACATTTGAAAGATACTAGTTCTGGTTTCATTCATGGTCTGATAGCCAGAAAATCCTATCACACAGAGTTAGAACTGGTTTTCCCCAGAGGATGGTCAGACATCTGACAGTGACTTATGCGAGAAGCGTGTCATTTCTCCACCATCCCAGGGCAGAGAGCGTGTCAGTTGCTTTAGCCATTCGTGACTTGGCATTATGGGATTTGCTCAGTTCCCTGTGTGAGGGTTATCCCATCCTGCACTGAATATCTGCTCACTTGCATCCTGTTACCCACCCCCATGCCCTGAGCTCCTTGCACTTAGGATTCATTGTTCTTCCGCCTACAGGTTAACTACACCTCCCCGCTGGTGGCAATGCACTTTACAGATGTGGTGAAGAACCAAGCGGTGCCCGTCCAGTGCCAGCTGAAGGGCAAGGGCATCATAAATGATGTCATCAATGATCGTTTTGTGGGTAGGGTGATCTTTACTCTGAACATAGAAACCTAAGAACTTTGCAGGGCGCTCCCACTAGTTTTGTTTCTGTTTTATTTCATGTACCCCCTGGTAGTACCTGAATTCTTTTTCTTCGCTCAGGACACAGCCAGATGGACATCTAAGACAGCAGATCATCTTTCCTTGCCTTTGACATATGTATAAAATGACATTGTGGGATTGATTTTTTAAAGGTAGTCTCTCCTGATGACAAATAGATGACGTTAATTTCCTTTCCCCCTACTTAAAACTAAAACCCATTCTTGCTGCTAGAAGTCTCACCATAGTGTAAACATAGTGTCTGATAAAATTCACAAGAGCCATGAAGGAGAATATCTATGATGATTTTAAATTCATCGTGTTTTGTAAAATTTTGTTGTTTTTAGAGGTGAGATTCCTCCCAACCAGGCTGATAACCTTTAAAAAAAAAATTTCTTTTCCTTAACCTGCCTGACAAGTTCCTTCCCTGGCAATCACCAATCAGACCAACTCAGAATACACCTAGGGCTACCATACCTAGAGAACTCTATATCCAAGGGTGCTTGAAGAACTGGCTGCCTCAAAAGGGCAACTAAATAATGATTTGAAGACTAGGTTATCTTCAGCTGGGACAGAAAGCAGTGCTAACTGGATATCGTTCTGGAATAGAAATGAACACCTTTCCTATGACTTTTTTGGGGAGGTGGGGTCCATAGCAACTGGGGAGAATACTTACCATGTGGATGTGATTGGCATTTGATTCCTTGCTCTGTGGTGTGATCATCCAAAGGCAAACATTCCTACACACGGGTTTGTCTCAGCTTCAGGCAAAGGAGAAAACAAGGATGATCTCCACCAGCTAATTATTCTAGGGCTATATGCTTGACAGTAGTATAATGTTCTTCGAGACCATCCGGGATGGGCATGTTGAACCCCAGCTACAGCTCTAGGGATTGAAATCACGGTCTGCCAACGATACATAGTAAGACAGAAAGCTCCCGCCAGGCCACCCAAAATCCAAGGCCCATTGCCAGCGTTTCATTTGCCTAGAAAACGATGTGGGGCAGATGTTTATCCAGGTTGTGGATCAGCCAGGCTGCTTCGTCTTATCTTTGGCCATGTGACCATTCCACTGCTTCTTAACACCTCCACCAGGGGGAGGGCTGGGACAAGGAGAAAAAGTGAGCATTAGAGAATTGCATAGTGTCTCGGGGTCCAAAGTTAAGCTTCAGTGCCACCTAGAAGCACCCAGAGTCTGAATCTCCTCTGTAATGTTTATCTTCTCCCGAAACAGGGAACTGGCAGTCTGGTAGTGAAGACAAACAAGCAAAGAAGTAACTATGAACTAGTATGACGACTTATACAACTAGTATGTGGAAATGGGAACATGAGGAAAAGTAACTAACTTGAGCTGAGAAAGTAGCAGAGGAAATTTCACATGCAAAGTCACAATCACGAAAGTGCACGGTGTGTTTGGGTAACTGGGAGCAGTTCGTGTAACTGGAATGTAAGGGGCTCAGAGGAATGGCCGGAAGTGGCAGGGGATTGGGCTAGAGAGGTATAGAGGTACCAAAAGAGGGCTTTGAGTTTAATCCAGGAGGTGAAAAGGAGTCATTAAAGTATTTTAAGCAGGGAAGCTCTGTGATCATATTTGCACTTTAGAAAGAGCACTTTGGCAGCTACGTTGTGAAGGGTGGGTTGGAGAGGGCAACTGGGCAATGAGGGAGAAGGAGGAGTCAAGAATGGCTCCAAAGTTTTGAACTTGGCTAGAACCAGTGTGATGGTGATATTGTTGATCGAGGCTGGGAATCCAAGAGAGAAGCAAGATTGGAGAGCAAGATGTGATCAATTTAAAGCTTGTGATTCCTATTGGTCAGACACCGATGTCGAGATGTCAACACAAGTGGGGTTGGGGAGAAGGAACTCTGAGAACAAAAGCAACATTTGCTTAAGTGAACCCTCTTAAGAAATTCTAAGCTATTTAATCTGGGGAACTCGAGCCAGTTACATAAACACACCACACCAGTCTAGTCTCTCGGAGAGTGTTTTTCTCTTGCGCTCGGGGCCCAAAGCACTGCGGCTGCTCTTTGGCATCTCCTTGCTGCTTTCCAACTCTTGTCAACAGAGTAGAGGGAAGCCGACCTCTGCTAACAAGTGATAGAAGATATTCAACAACAGATCTGTGGAAAATACAAAAAAAAAAAAAAAAAAACCAATGAAACTGTCTCCTCCCAACCCCTGTCCTTACCAAATTCCGTTTCCAAAACTAATCAAGAACGAAATACCTGAAGATGGTAACTTTAAAACCATTTCAAGATTACCTCAAATAATCAAACTCTCAAAATTCAGTAGTAAAAGATAATAGAACATTAGATCTGGAAAGGATACTAGAGTGTTTAGAGAAAACAACCTGCATTGCATCTGACTCCAGGTCCAGTGCTCTTTCTACTCTGAGCTGCTGCTTACCAGGAAGTACCATCTTTTTAAAAATCAATGGATGATACCCCAAACATTTTGAAACATATGTCAAATTTGAGTTAGAATAGTTAACATTTCACAGGAATTCAACTACTGGTGCTATATTTTATACATAATACATTATCCTGTTAAATACGTTGACTATTACACAGACAAGGAATTATGACTCTTTTGTCATACAGTATTTCTCATTCAGTGGAATCCATTGTATCCACAGTTTCCAAGCAGTATTGAATAGTACTAGGATGGTTTGGGTTGTCAGATGGGACATGACAAAACAGCTTTATCACACCGAACTGGATATTATAATATATACTCACTAAAATGGAATTCTAACAGTTCAATAAACTTCCAGTGGATTAATCTAAATCTTCCCCCATACTGTTTCATACCGGGATTTGATTTGTATACCATCTGTTGCAATGCACTTGGTTTTACTTGATTGTCAATGAGAATTACTACTTCCAAATGCCTTCGTGGTCTTGTCCATGCTAGATTTATGATTTCTCACCCCTCTGAAATCACTATCCTAAAGTAACTTTTCTTAGGCATATATCTGCTGGGACTCTTCATGTAGAAAACATTATTATTGTATTGATTTGTTGACAACAATAAATTGAAATAAAAAAGGAGTGTATGGTTTCCTCCTTCTAGACGGTACCACTGATTTTCCCACAGGAATACTGGGCAGCCATGTGGGTGGAAAACTTGACAACTGACAGCCTATTAGCTTAAAACTTTTTTCTTCTTCTTCCCCCCACCTTTTTTTTTTTTTTGACTCTTGGGGTTTAACCACAGGAGGATGAAACTAAAAGTTGTTTCATTTCTGAGCATTTTTCCTTTTTAGTCTCTATGCTCCGGTTTCTCAGAAGACTACTTTGTCAGAGCAAACTTCCTTTCTTCATCGAGTACTGGTATAAATTGTTCCATTTGTTTGTGTAGGAAAGGAACACCAAGAGAAACTTTGAGGTGGGGAGAAGGAACCAAAATCCAAAGAGAAGCTGCAATTGCTTGATGAAAGCCTGGCTAAGTGACTTTAGGGCACATCTGGCCACAAATGGTCTCCCAGAGCAAATCTCTAATGGTAATTGCAATTAAAGACAGAAATATTTCCACTCCCTTGTTTGACTCAGAGGTTAAGCTGCTGTAGGAATCCCTTCTTTCCTTGGAAGCTGCCCCGGCCTAAGGTCTATTAGGCTTATATGGTTTGATTGGGGTGAAGCCTGTGATCCCAATACATTTCCCCTATCTAGGTTCTTCGTTAGAGTCATTTTCCTTACTGATTTCCTCTTAAAAGACTCAGACATGATAAAGTAATTTAGCCAAGTCATGCAGAAGTGTGATTTACACTGTGATTTTATCTAGGCAGGAAACAGAGGTCTGGATGTGTGTGGTGGTGGGGAGGAAGGACAGGATGGCTGGAGGCAAAGGGCGAGGAAAAAGGAGTTGAAAGCCTGAATAGCCCTGCTTACTTCACAAAGTTATTTAGTCTCAGGCTAGAAGGGGCGAAAGGCTTATAGAAAGATCTAAAAGGCTTAAGGAGGATATGATAGCCTCCCAGTCTGGCAGCTTAGTCTCCAGGATGTAGTTTTGTGCAGGCTCCTGTATGGCCATAACATCAGTCAGGGTTCCAACAATAAATAGCACACTTGACAAAATGGAATAATTGGAAGGTGGGTATTTCCAAAGAGATTACTTATAAATGTGTAGATGCAGGGAACCACAGAGAATAGCACAATAACCCAGGCTAGTATAAGCTAAACTCTTACCTTCCTAGGCCCCAAGGGACAGGCATAGGAAGTGATTCCCACAACCCAGAAGGACTGAATCATGTACAACTGACTGCCTTGAGAGGAGTGGTGACCTTGTTGAAGGACTAAGCTAGCCCAAGGTGATCTTGTAGGGAGGTGATCCTACACTTATTTATGGTTGTATCTGAACTTTTGAAACTAAAATCTTTTCAAAATTTTAACATTAAGATCTCCAAAGAATAGTCCTTTCACTCTACCCTAGCATTTTGTTGACATCTTTCACTTGAAAGAAAGGGAGGGTGAAGAGAGAAAGAAGGCACCTTGATTTATTCTGCTTTATCTTTACCAAAAAAAACATTGTATAATTCAACTCTGTATTAAATGTCTGGTTGCATGAAACATTTTCTTTCCAGAACAGAATGATACAACCTTCATAATACAGCTAACTTGAGTCAGAAAAGTATTTGTCTTCCATTAAGGACAAACATGTTCATAAACGAGAATCAGGATAAAGGTGACATCCTTTCCCTCTCCAATCCTCCAGCTGATGATATCATCTTGTGTATAGAAAATCTTAAGGAACTACTAAAAGACTATCACAGCTAAAAAAAAAAAGTTCACCAACAGTGCAAGATAAAAGATCAGTATACAAACATCGGTTATCTTTCTATACACTAGCAGTGAACAATTAAAAAAAAAGAAATTAACAAAACAGTTCCATTTACAATTGCATAAAAAATAAAATACTTAGGAAAAGAGTAACAAAAGAAATGCAAGACTTGTGCACTGAAAACTACATAGCATTGT